GTCATTTTGGGGTCGTTTTGGGGGATTTGGGGTCATTTTGGGGGATTTGGGGTCATTTTAGGGTTATTTGGGGTCATTTCAGGGGGATTTGGGGTCGTTTTGGGGCAATTTTAGGAGTTTGGGGTCTGTAGTGTGAGGGTACCATCAACAGCAACAGTCGTCCTACAACCTCCTCCTGATTTGGGTTGAAACACCCGTTTTTTAATGATAAATGTCCTTTTGGGGCAGAACAAGCCGTATTTGGTGCAGGATGATCCCAGTTTGGGTCGAAATCAGCCAGATTTGGGTCAAAACCCCACAATTTGAGGCAAAATTCCCCGATTTGGGTCAAAATGTCCTGATTTGGGTCAAACCCTCCTGATTTGGGTCAAAATGCCCCGATTTGGGTCAAAACCCCCTGAATTGGGTCAAAATGCCCCGATTTGGGTCAAAATGTCGTGATTTGGGTCAAACTGCCGCGATTTGGGTCAAAATGCCCCGATTTGGGTCAAAACTCACCAATTTGGGTGAAAATGCCCCAGTTTGGGTTAAAATGCCCTGATTTGTGTGGAAATGCCCTGATTTGGGTCACAATGGCCCAATGTGGGTCAAAGTGCCGTGATTTGGGTCAAAAAGCTGTAATTTGGGTCAAAGTGCCCCTGTTTGGGTCGAATTGCCCTGACTTGAGTCACAGTGGCCCAGTTTGGGTGAAAATGCCCCGATTTGAGTCAAAATGCCCCAATTTGGGTCAAAATGTCCCAATTTGGGTCAGAATGTCCCGATTTGGGTCAGAATGTCCCGATTTGGGTCAAAATGTCCAGATTTGGGTCAAAACGCCCCAATTTGGGTCAAAATGCCCCAATTTGGGTCAAAATGTCCTGATTTGGGTCAGAATGTCGTGATTTCGGTCAAAATGCCGCGAATTAGGTGAAAATGCCCCAATCTGGGTCAAAATGCCCCAATTTGGGTCAAAATGTCCCAATTTGGGTCAAAATGCCCCATTTTAGGTTAAAATGCCCTGATTTGTGTGGAAATGCCCTGATTTGGGTCAAAGTGTCCCGATTTGGGTCACAGTGGCTCAATTTGAGTGAAAATGCCGCGACTTGGGTCGAAAATGCCGCGATTTGGGTCAAAGTGCCCTAAATTGTGTGAAAACCCCCCGATTTTGGTGAAACTGCCCAAATTTGATGTTGTAACCCCGTTTTCCTCCCCCAGCCAACAGCTACGGTCAGGATCAGTCGTCGCTGAGCTCGGGGGGTTACCAGGAGCCGGGGGGTTACGGCGGCGGGGGGCAGTCGGAGCGGAGCCGGGGCCGGGGCGGTTACGGCCGCGGGGGCTACGAACGAGGCGGCCGCGGGGGCCGCGGGGGCCGAGGAGCCAACCTGGGGTAGGTACCCGGGACACCCCCAAAACTGGGGGGAGGGGGGACCCCAAAACCGCCCCGGGGGGAGGGGGGCAAGGGGACGAACGGACACCCCAAAATTAGGGGGGGAAAGGGGGGGTTTGGGGAAGAAAAGAGGTTTTTGGGGAAGAAAAATGGAGTTTTGGTGAAAAAAAAAATGGTTTGGGGGGGAAAAAAACGCTTTTTTTAATTGAAAAAAAAGGTGGGTTTTGGGGAAAAAAAGGGGTTTTAGTAAAAAAAAAAAAAGGTGGATTTTAGGTAAAGGAAAAGGTGGTTTTTGGGTAAAAAAAGGTGGTTTTTTAGTAAAAAAAATTGATTTTTGCTGAAGAAAAAAAAGGTGGTTTTTGGGGGAAAAAATAGGGTTTTAGGTCAAGAAAATGGTTTTTTAGTTAAAAAAAAGGTGATTTTTTGGGAAAGAAAATCGGTTTCTGGGTAAAGAAAAATAGGTTTTGGGTAAAGAAAAAGGTTTTTGAGTAAAGAAAAAATTGGTTTCTGGGTAAAAAAATGGTTTTTTAGTAAAAAAAAAAAGTGTTTTTTGGGTAAAGAAAAAATTGGTTTTTGGGTAAAAGAGTGGTTTTTTGGTAAAAATGGTTTTTTAGTAAAAAAAGATTTCGGGTAAAAAAATTGGTTTTGGGGTAAAAAAAAATGGTTTTTTAGTAAAAAGAAAAAGGTTTTTGCGTAAAGAAAAATTTGGTTTTGAGTTAAAAAAAGTGGTTTTTTAGTAAAAAAGTGGTGTCTGGGTAAAGAAAAAGGTGGTTTTTTAGTAGAAAAATGTTTTTGGGTAAAAAATGGTTTTTTAGTTAAAAAAAGAAGTGGTTTTTTTGGTTAAAGAAAAAATGGGTTTTAGGTAAAAAAATCATAAGGTTTTTGGGTAAAAAATGATGGGGTTTGGATGAAAAGATGGTGGGTTTGGGGTAAAAAACCCCTAATTTCAGGTAAAAAAAGCAGTTTTTGGGTAACACACCCTGATTTTTAGATTAAAAAATGGTGTTTGGGTAAAAAAAAAGTGGTTTTTAGGTAAAAAAAAAACAAGAGTGAAAACCATTAAATGATTGAAAGGATTAAAATGAAAGTAAATGATTGAAACTCAAGGGTTAAGAGGAGTAAATGATTAAAAGAAATCAATGATTGAGAGGAATAAAGTGATTGAAAGGTGGTGCCAAAGGTCACCTGCAGCCTCTGGTCCCGGCAGGAAACAAAAAGGCCAAAAAAACCCCAAAAAAGAGGACAAATGGTGCGTTTTGAGGTCACTGCAGAAAGCAAAACACCCAAAAATGGGACGTTGTTGGTTTTGGGGAGAAAAGGCGCCGCTTTGGTAAAAAACTGTCATGTCCTGGGTGTGAAAAATAAGGTTAAAATCATGAAAAAAATCGGTTTAATGGTCAAAAATGGTGAAAAAATGGTGAAAAAGTGGTTAAAAAATGGTTAAAAAGCCAAATGTGCTGGTTTGGGTTTTGTGTGTGAGAGAGTCCCTCGGATATTTGGATTTTTGGGGGGAAAAAGCTGCTTTTTGGGGCGATTTTGAGGTGAGTATGGGGGGAAAAGGGGAGGGGGGGTTGTGTTGTGCTTTTAACAAATTCTGCCTTTTGTGCTGCAGGTGTTGAAAAAGCTTTGGCAACCCCCGGGAGTTTTGGGTTAAAAAAAGGCAGAAAAGGGGCAAAAAAAAAGGCCAAAAAATCAAGAAAAGGGGGCAAGAAAAGGCCCAAAAATTTTTAAAAAATCAAGAGAAAAGGTCAAAAAAAACCCAAAAAAAATCAAGGAAAAAAGGCAAAAATGCCCAAAAAAAAAATTAAGAAAAGGGGCAAGAAAATGCCCAAAAAATCAAACAGAAAGTCAAGAAAAGGGACAAAAGAACGGCTAAAAAACCGAAAAAAAAGGGTGAAAAAAGCCCAAAAGATCAAAAAAGAAATCAGGAAAAAGGGGCAAAGAAGCGCCCAGAAAATCAAAAAAAAAAATCAAGAAAAAGGGGCAAAAAAATGCCTGAAAAATCAAAAAAAAAAACAGGAAAAGGGGGGAAAAAAAACCACAAAATAAAAAAAAAAAAAAATCAAGTAAAGGGGCAAAAATAGCTTCCCAAAAATAAAAAAAAAATCAAGAAAAAGAGGCAAAAATGCCCAAAAAATCAGAAAAAAGTCTCAAAAAAGAGGCAAAAACGCCCAAAAAATAAAATTTAAAAAAAACTAGAAGAAAAAGCAAAAATGCCTCAAAAATCAGAAAAAAAATTAAAAAAAGAGAAAAAATACCCAAAAAATAAATTTAAAAAAAATCAAAATTAAGAAAAAAATACTCAAAAAATAAAAAAAATTAAGAAAAAAGGTAAAAGTGGCCAGAAAATCAGAGAAAAAGTCAAAAAAAAGGTAAAAATGCTCAAAAAATTGTAAAAAAGGGGCAAAAAATGGCCCAAAAAAATCAAAAAAGAAAATAAAAAAAGAGGAAAAAATGTTTAAAAAGAATTTTAAAAAATGGAAAAAAAATGGCGAAAGTGCCCAAAAAAATCAGAAAAAAAAAAAAAAAAAAAGGGGGGAAAAATACCTAAAATATCAGAAAAAAAAATCAACATAAAAGGGAAAAAATGCCCCAAAAATAAAAAAAAATGAGTGAAATGCTCCAAAAAAATCCAAGAAAAGGTGGAAGAAGCAGGAGGGGGGAGGGGCAGCTCAGAGCCCACCCGGGGGGTTAAAAAAAGAACCAAAAAAAAGCCAAACTTGGGGTTTTTTTAGTGGATTTTGAGCCCCTTTTGCTGCTGGATCGAGAGGAAACGTCGCCGGCGGATGACGACCCCCCAAAATTACATTTTTTACCCCAAAAAAGAGGGTTTTGTGTGTCCCACTCTGCTCTCAAAGGTGTTTTTTGTAGGCAGGGGCTCAAAAAAAAAAACCTGATTTATCTTCTAATTTATCTCCTCAGCGGTGGTGAGCGTGGTGGCTTCAATAAATTCGGTGGTAAGTCCCAAAGAGTTCAGCATTTGAACCCAAAAAATTGAAAGAAAAAGGCAAAAAACAGGAGGAAAAAAAATTTAGGGAATGTTGAGTTTTTTAACCCGTTTTTTTGGAACAGCCTCGGGGCGTTTTTGGGGTGAAAACCCCCCGAAACGGAGCCGGAGCGGAGGAAAAAGTGGATTTCTGGTGGTTTTTTTGGGGGGTGAAAAAGCAAATTATAAGGAAAAAAAAAATGAGGGAAGAGGAAAAATTGAAGGAAAAAAAATTAAGAAGAGTTTGGAATAAATGGTGAGAAAAAAGGTGGTTTTGGGGTGTTTGGGAGGGTGAAAAAAGGTGGTTTTTGGTTCAAAAGGATCAAAAAAAAGCTGCATGTTGGTGGTGGAAAAAAAATTCCAGAGGTTTTGGTGGCAAAAAGGTTTTTTTTGGGGGAAAAACACACGAAAAAAAAAAGGTGCCGGTGACCTGAGGTCGGTGTGAGAATTGAGGAAAATGGTGAAATTGGAGGTTTTCTCCCCAAAAATTGGGGTGCTGCAGTGGACCCAAAGCACCCAAGGAAAAAAAAAAACAAAGTGCTGCTTTTGCCCAGAATTCCAAAGGTTTCAGCCCGTTTTTCCAGGGATTTGCTGCTGGTGGTTGAAAGGAATTTAAAAATATGAAAAAAAATAAAATTCAAAAGTGTTGGTGGAGAGGAAGAAATTGAGGAGAAAAAGGGTGAAAAAGGGGCTGGAAAGAGTCAAAAAGTCCCCTGGAAATGGGGGAAAAACGCCCGGAATCGGAATCCAAGGATCTTCCTGAGGAGGGAAAAACCTTAAAAAGATGGAAAAAAAGCCCAAAAATGAGTGTTTTGGGGAAAAACGGGGGGTTGTGACCCCCAAAATACGGGGTTTGACCCCAAAAAATGGGGTGGTGGCCCCAAAATGGGGGATTTTGACCCCGAAATGGGGGATTTTGGGTCAAAAATATGAACTTTAATCCTGAAATGGGGGATTTTGAGCCCAAAATAGGGGGGGGTTGACCCCAAAATGGGGGATTTGGGGTTAAAAATATGAACTTTAATCCTAAAATGGGGTGTTTTGGTCCCCAAATGAGGGTTTTGACCCCAAAATTTGGGGTTGTGATTCCTGAATGGGGGGGGTTTTGACCCCAAAATGGGGGGTTTTGAGCCCAAAATATGGGGTTGTGACCCCAAAATTAGGGGAGTTTTGAGCCCAAAAGGGGGTTTCTGACCCCAAAATAGGGGGGTTTGACCCCAAAATATGGGGTTGTGAGCCCAAAATGGGGGGGATTGACCCCAAAATGGAGGATTTGACCCCAAAATATGGGGTTGTGACCCCAAAATGGGGGGTTTTACCCCAAAATAGGGGGTTTGACCCCAAAATAAAGGAGGTTTAACCCCAAAATAGGGGCGGTGACCCCAAAATAGGGGATTTTTAATCCCAAAAAAGGGGATTTTGACCATAAAATTGAGGGGTTTGACCCCAAAAAAGGGGATTTTGACCCCAAAGAAGGGTTTTACTCCAAAATGGGATTTTTGACCCCAAAAAATGGGGTTTTGACCCCAAAAAATGGGGTTTTGACCCCAAACCGGGGGGGGTTTTGACCCCAAAATGGGAGGTTTTGACCCCTAAATCGGGCTCGGGGAGGGCAATAAAAAAAGGTGGGGTGGGAGGGGCTTGTTGTGGCCACGCCCCCTCCCCGCCCCCTCATTAACATAATTAATTGTTTTTGCATGTGCTGAAAAGGCCCCCGGGACCAGGGACCTCGACATGACCCCGGTAATTAACGGGGGTAATTAGGGACTAATTAAGGGGGTCGGGGGGGGAATATTGGGGGTTAAAAGGGTTAATTAGGGGTTAATTGGGTTGGTTGGGGGTTAATTAGGTGTAATTAAGGGAAGGGGGTTATGGGGAACCAAGGGATGTTAATTATGGCTTGATTGGGCTAATGGGATTAATGAGGGTAATAAAAGATATGAGGGTTAATTGGGGAATTAATGGGGAATATTGGGGCTAATGGGGGTTAATTGATAGTTAATTGGGCTATAAATAGGTTTTGTTGGTTAATTGGACTGATAATGTAGTGTTAATTAAGGGATTAATGATTATTTGGGCTACAGGGGAGGTTTGTTGGTTAATTGGGCTCATTATTTAGTGTTAATTAAGGGGTTAATAAGGATGGATTGGGCTGATAAATTAGTGTTAATTAAAGGGGTTAATAAGGATCAATTGGACTGATAATTTAATGTTAATTAGGGGATTAATAAGGATCAATTGGGCTGATAATTTCATGTTATTTAAAGGCATTAATCAGGATTAACAGGGTTTATAATTTAGTATTAATTAAAGGTATTAATAAGGATTAATTGACTGATAATTAGGTGTTTATTAAAGACATGTATGAGGATCAATTAGACTGATAATTCAGTGTTAATTGAAGGCGTTAAAAAGGATCCGTTGTGCTGATAATTTAGTTTTAATTAAGGAGTTAATAGGAACTAATTAACTTAGTAAAGGCGAGGATTAAGCAGGGCAGTAATTAAACCAAGTAATTAACAATAATTAAAGCGAGTTTAGTAGTAATTAAGCCCAGTAATTAATAATAATTAAAACAACAGCAGTAAGTAATCAGCACAATGAGGGTGAGTAATTAAGAGTGTATAAATAGAGCAAACTGTTAATAAAGATTAATTGAGATGATAATTTGGTGTTAATTAAAAGCATTAATAAAAATTAATTAGTCTGATAGTTCAGGGTTATTTAAGGGCTTAGTAAAAATTAATTAGTCTAGTAAAGATGAGGATTAAGCAGGGCAGTGATTAAACCAAGTAATTAATTATAATTAAAGCAAGTTTAGTTGTAATTAAGCCCGGTAATTAATAATAATTAAAGCACCAGGAGCAAGTAATCAGCACAGTGAGGGTGTGTAATTAAGGGTGAATAATTAAGATAAGAAAGGCCAGGGGATGGTAATGAGTTTACAGCGGGGTGAGGGAGTTAATTAGTGTTAATTAGAGTTAATTAATGAGTGTTAATTAAGCTTTTTGTCCCCCAGGTGAGCAGGACAACTCGGACAACAACACGATCTTCGTGCAGGGGCTGGGGGAGAACGTCACCATCGAGTCCGTGGCCGATTACTTCAAACAGATCGGAATCATCAAGGTACACGCGTGTGCTTGGCGTGTTAGCACGTGTGCCTGGCGTGTTCTCACATGTGCTTGGGGTGTTCTTGTGGCCCTGGGGTGTTCTGAGTCCTTGGTGTGTCACCACGTGTGCTTGACATGTTATCCCCTGTGCTTGGTGTGTTCTGAGTCCCTGGTGTGTCTCCACATGTGCTTGGCATGTTCTGAGTTCTTAGGGTGTCACCACATGTTCTTGGGTGTGTTTTGAGTCCTTGGTGTGTCATCACGTGTCCTTGGTGTGTTCCTGTGGCCCTGGTGTGTTCTGAGTCCCAGGGGTGTCACCGTGTGCACGAGGCATGTTCTGAGTCCTGGGTGTGGCACCCCCTGTGCTTGGTGTGTTCTGAGTCCTTGTTGTGTCATCAAATGTTCTTGGTGTGTTCTGAGTCCTGGGTGTGTTATCGCATGTCCTTGGTGCGTTCTTGTGGCCCTGGTGTGTTCTGAGTCCTGGGTGTGGCACCACATGTACTTGGGGTGTTCTTGTGGCCCTGGTGTGTTCTGAGTCCTGGGTGTTGGTACCATGTGTTCTTGGCATGTTCTGAGTCCTGGGTGTGGTACCCCTTGTGCTGGGTGTGTTCTGAGTCCTTGGTGTGTCATCACGTGTCTTTGGTGTGTTCTGAGTCCCGGGGGTGTCACCACATGTGCCTGGCACGTTATTGCATGTACTTGGTGTGTTTTGAGTCCTGAGTGTGTTATCCCATGTCTTTGGTGTGTTCTGAGTCCTGAGCGCGTTATCACATGTGCTTGGCATGTCACAACGCGAGCTGGGTGTGTTCTGAGTCCTTGGGGTGTGTTATCACATGTGCTTGGTGTGTTATCACATGTCTTTGATGTGTTCTGAGTCCTGAGTGTGTTATCGCGTGTGCTTGGTGCGTTATCGCCTGTGTATGGTGTGTCCTGTGTCCTTGGTGTGTTCCGGGTCCTTGGTGTGTCACCACGTGTCCTTGACATGTTCTGAGTCCTAGATGTGTTACTCTGTGTGCTTGGCATGTTCGGTGTCCTTGGTGTGTTAGCGCATGTGCTTGGCATGTTATCACCTGTGCTTGGTGTGTTCTTGTGGCCCTGGTGTGTTCTGAGCCCTTGACGTGTCACTGTGTGTGCTTGGTGTGTTCTCACCTGTGCTTGGTGTGTCCTTGTGGCCCTGGTGTGTTCTGAGCCCTTGGTGTGTGAGCACGTGTGCCTGGTGTGTCTCCACGTGTGCCTGGCGTGTCACCACGTGTGCCTGGCGTTTTTTTGAGTCCCATGTGTGTTTCTGTGTGTAGTTGGTGTGTTCTCACCTGTGCTTGGTGTGTTCCTGTGGCCCTGGTGTGTTCTGAGCCCTTGACGTGTCACTGTGTGTGCTTGGCGTGTTACCACCTGTGCTTGGTGTGTTCTGTGTCCTTGCTGTGTCACCACATGTCCTTGGTGTGTTGAGAGTCCTTGGTGTGTCACCACACGTGCCTGGCGTGTTATCGTGTGTGCTTGGTGTGACCACATGGTCTTGGTGTCTTCTGAGGCCTTGACGTGTCCCCACATGTCCCTGATGTGTCCCCACGTTTCCTTGACGTGCCCCCGCGTGTCCTTGACGTGTCCCCCCATGTCCTTGGCGTGTCCCCACATCCTTGATGTGTCCCCACATGTCCTTGACGTGTCCCCGCGTGTCCTTGACATGTTCTGATCCCTTGATGTGTCCCCACGTGTGCTCAACGTGTCCCTTCCCGTGTGTCCCTGCTCCCCCTTGGCCTTGGCATGACCTTGGCATGACCTTGGCGTGTCCTTGACATGTTTCCCGTGTCCCAGACCAACAAGAAGACGGGTCAGCCCATGATCAACCTGTACACGGACCGGGAGACCGGGAAGCTGAAGGGCGAAGCCACCGTGTCCTTCGACGATCCCCCCTCGGCCAAGGCGGCCATCGACTGGTTCGACGGTGGGGACACCAAAAACACCCCTTTTCCACCCAAAAATCACCTTTGTCACCCCCAAAAACCCCTTTACCACCCCAAAAATCCCCTTTGCCACCCCAAAAATCCACTTTTCTGCCCCAAAAATTGACTTTTCCGCCCCAAAAATCTCCTTTTCCGCCCCAAAAATCCACTTCTCTGCCCCTAGAATGACTTTTTTCATCCCGAAAATACCCATTTTACCCCAAAAATCACCTTTTCTGCCTCAAAATCATCTTTTTCACCCCAAAAATCCCATTTTTGCCCCCCTCGGCCAAGGCGGCCATCGACTGCTTCGACAGTGGGCACACCAAAAATCACCTTTTTCCACCCAAAAATCACCTTTTCCACCCCAAAAATCACCTTTCCCACCCCAAAAATCTGCCTTTTCACCCCGAAAAACCTCGTTTGCACCCCAAAAAAACCCTTTGCTGCACCAAAAATCAGCTTTTCTGCCACAAAAACCAACTTTTCTGCCACAAAAAATCCCCTTTTTCTGCCACAAAAATTCCCTTTTTTACCCCGAAAACCCCCTTTTTTAACCCCAAGAAATTCCTTTTCCACCCTGAAAATCTGTTTTTCATCCCAAAAATCCCCTTTGCCACCCTAAAGACGCAGTTTTTCACCCAAAGAAAATCCCTTTTTGCCACCCCAAAAAATTGACTTTTCTGCCCCAAAAATTCCCTTTTCACCCCAAAAATTCTCTACTTCTCAAAAATCCCCTTTTTAACCCCATAAATCCTCTTTTCCACCCTAAAAATCCTTTTTTATCCTCCAAAAAAACCCCTTTTCCCCCCCAAAATCCCCTTTTTTGCCCCAAATCCCTTTTTTCCCCCCCAACCCCTTTTTCCCCTGTTTATTTTGGGCTGAATTCCCGTTTTTTTTCCAGGCAAGGAATTCTCTGGGAATCCCATCAAGGTTTCCTTTGCCACCCGTCGGGCGGATTTCACCCGCGGCGGGGGCGGCCGAGGGCGCGGCCGGGGAGGTGAGAGACCCCCAAAAATGGGGGCAGAGAACCCCAAAATTGGGAGAAATTCCACTAAAAAATGGGATTAGAGACCCCCCAAAATCTGGGAGAGATCCTGCAAAAATTGGGAGTGAGAGACCCTCTAAAAACGGGATCAGAGACCCCAAAAACGGGGATCAGAGACCTCTAAAAATTGGGATCAGAGACCCCAAAAATGGGGGGAGGACCCCAAAAATTGGGATAAGAGACACCAAAAAATCTGGGAGAGATCCCTCAAAAATTGGGAGTGAGAGATGCTCTAAAAAGGGGATCAGAGACCCCCAAAATTGGGATCAGAGACCCCCAAAATTGGG